TAGAATCGATGAGTAACTTTCACTAGGTATCTAAGTATCTATACGACCCCCGCTCCACAACTCACTATCTTAACCAGTAAACTGAAAGTTTACTGATCACGACCAACGCTTTACGAAACACACTAGTTAAATTCACTAGGGTTTTCTTTCAGTGCATTTATTCATCTTTCTTACTAAATGTACTTGATAAGAATATTTTTCCTATCTACACTGTACCTTCTTCCGTCAAATTCGACTCATGACCTCGTGGTAGGTCAAAGATAAGCCTTCAAAGGTCACATAAGGTCAACTGTTGACAGAGTTTCAGATATCTGAGGGTCAAAGTAAGAATCGAAGAACCACATTTTCTCTGACGTCACTCTAAGAAGTGCTGTAAGAATTACCTGCTGTCAATATTATAAAAGTTCCAGGTGCAAAAGATTTTCGTGAATTTCAAAAATGGAAAAACTTTTCGAATTAACCATTGGAATTTTCGGGGTATTATGTTGCCTCCGATTTGGTTCCACAGATTTTACAGGTATGGAAAAGTTTATTAAAATGGAAATGCTGTTTGTAAAAATGTCTCAAAATAATAGAAATAATTAGTGTATGATACCTTTCGGATACTTAATTTGGATAAATAATACATTTCAGAAAAAAGCCCTGAAGATTTGGCATAAAGTCCAGCTATATCTTTCTTCATTAAATTGAACTGACTTTAATCAACTGTTAAATAAATTACTGAATAACTTTTTGAAAAAAAGAATCTTGTAGGAATCCAAGAGATTTTCAGAAAATTTTAATTTTTTTTTTCGGGGGAGGGGGGGGGGGGGTCTGCGTAGTTTTCAAGACGTAATTTGTGGTCACTTTGCAAACATTTCACTAAAGATTGATTAAATTTCAGATGTAGACTGGTGTAAGGACAATCCAGATTTAAACTGCTGGCGATACATGGACAGCAAATGTGAAGGATTTTATGAGGACTGGGCGAGACAAAACTGTCCCTACCGCTGCGGCTATTGTCCAAGTAAGTTAGTCAAGGGCATTCTCAAAAATATTTTGTAAATTATGTCTGCATTAATACAATTTATATGAAATTATTCACCAATTCTGTTTAATTTAAAATTGAAAACACTACGACAGTCTATGCTCGGATTTAGTAGAGTACAAATAGCGTAAACATGTCCACAATAGATCAGAATTGAAAACAATATTATGAAAAAGTAGGTTGTAGAAAGTACGGTTGTCAAGTGCCTTTATCGAAGAGTGAATCTCGTTTTAGCTCAAGTTTGATTAAGTTTTAGAGATTCACTCTTTATGGTGGATGGCATAAATATGACACCTAATGGTGTATAGAAAATGTCATTCCGGATTTTAGCAATACTACGGAATCCGGGTAAGGCTATGCAGTGCACTATCACAATTCATATCGAGCAACAACTAAAAGGTCGATGGCGCGATAACAATGAAGCGATGGTGCAATGACGATGGAACTACATGTATGGTACGATATGGCGATGATGCGATGGCGCGACAATGCGATAACGATGGTGGGATAACACGATGAATCGACTCCGTATTAGGTCCCTATAACTGACTGTGTAATGAAGTTATCCAACTGAAGAACTTTTTAAATTATTTTAAAAAATCTATGTGCATATAATGAAAATATCTAGTTTTAATCCAATATCATAAGATTTAAGATAATAAGAAATTTAACTACTGTACCTACACAAACCGTTTTTAGCCACCATTTTCATTTACAAAAAGAACGCCTTGAAATGAATTGCGTGCATGCTAGATTTTAATATTACTCCTTGATGGCGACACTATACATAAATTTCAGGGCGTCATGTGATTACAGCTTTTATCTAATCAGTGATCTACAAATTTGTCTGAAGCGGAACAAAAAATATTGTAATTTTTTGTACTTTCTCTGTATAAACCTATTTGAAATCGACCGCCATTTTAGTTTCAATACGGCTGATATGCAAATGATCGAGCAGAATGAACACCATTTCTCCATATGACGGGCTTCGCCCGTAATACAAATTATCCCACGTTTCCAACATTCGGTGATGCCCTGGCATACTCTACTAACTAGACGATGATTCCTTAGATGCCAGTATATACGCGTAATGAGTCTGTACATTTTACCATTTTAATCCATAGCTAAACCCCCTTGTGAGGACACTGATACTTCCTGTCATGCGTACCACATGGAAGCTTGTTCAGATGAAAATACCCGGGCTTACATGAGAGAACATTGCAGAAAGAGGTGCCACCTATGTCATTGTAAGTGAAAAGTGTTCAGGTACATGTATTTATTTGTTTAGTTTGTTTCTAATTGTCAATTCTGTGTTGTTTTTGGAGTCTAGGTCTTCCAACAATCTATTGGAATTACCATGGGTAGCAATTGCGCCCCATTATTAATAGACCTATTTTTGTATTCATATGAAGCAGAATTTGTCCAAAATCTTATATGTCAAAAGAAGAAAACAATTGCTCTAATATTAAACTCGATTTTTAGATATATCGACAACGTAGCTTGAGATAAAAGATACTACGGAGCCTGATACATCTGTTTCATATTTGTATATTTAACTTGAAATGACGTTTATGGTAATCTAATAACATTCTCTATGATAAACGTGATAACTTTAACTTTGCAATCGTTATCTTCCCTTACTTATACAGCAATATACCTTCATCACTTGCATACGAAATTCATATATTTGATTCGATACGCAAGAGCATGCTCTATGTATAAACAATTTCTAAAACGAGGTAAATTATTAACAAACAAGCTGATGAAACAAGAATATCAGCAGTCTCGATTAAAGTCATCATTTGGTAACTCTACGGTCGGTACAATGAGCTTGACAGCAAATGCAATTTATCATTAAGTCCAATGCTGACTAACGTTTTTCATCTTAATTGTTTGTCCATTATTTTTACATTGAATTGACGGCGGATTTTTCCGTTATTTTCAGTCATGACAAGGGGCAGTTGTGACCGTTCATCAGGGGATGTTCACTCCTCCATGGCACCTGGTCCAACCTCTAATGTTTTGCTCTGCTTCTATTTTGTATTGTTTTATGGACTTCTGATCATGAATACTGTTCGTTATTCCCACATGTTTAACACCCCTTTCGAGTTTTCATATTGTGAAGACGGCACCACTTCCAAGCCGTGGAGGGATGCAAATTAAGACATGATAATCGGCACTCCAAAGGCCATATTTATATAAGGAATTTTAGGGGATCTTTTTCGTGCCAGCACCTACTGAGACACAGATGCCGATGCCATGTTGCGCGGTATTTTGAAGCAACGGCTCAAATATGTTATATAGTGTGTTATTGCTGATATGATATTGGAAAAATGTATAAAAGGCCATCTTTAAAAAAAAAAGTTTGCTTGCCCTCTCCCAATTGGCTGGCTAAAACTTAATTCGCCTCTCTTTTTTAAAACCTGCTAGAAAAGATATTTTAATTTTCTAAAAAATATATTTCATCTTTTCAACCGGTCTGTTGAAAATTACTGAAAAAAAGTTTTCCCACTTTGACGACCTATTTCTTAAACCTGAGTAGGGAGAGAACAAGTACTGTTTTATAGATGGTTTCATGCTTGAGATTTTTTACTTATTTCAGACCCCGGGGATGATAGCCCGCCAAACACACCCCCACCTGGAACTCCTGTCCCAACAGACACCATGGTGAAACCAGCTGTTGGAAAATGATGTTATTTCAGTATGACAAGCTAGTAAATTAATAAAGAAATGATTTGATATGAAACATGTTTTTATCGTTACTAACTAAAGATGAACAATGTTAAAGTAAAAATATTTCTTAAGAAAAAAAACAGAATAGCGAAGTTTTGTAAATTAAGATTTATAGTGCATTTTTGCATTCCTTGATGAACTGGATTTACATTGTATAAACAGTGAAATATATAATACGTACACTGTAAGGGGTACTTGAGAGAGAAAGAGAGGGAGAGAAAGAGACTTAGAAATATTAATAATTTTTGCTTCACCTAAATAAAGTGTCCAAGCTCGTGACTAAAGCTATATGAAGTATAGAAAATCTTTTTGCTAAAAATTCTACAAATTTTGTTTTTCTTTCGTGATTTTATTTTCTTTCGCTTTAACAATTGATGGATTGTTTTCTTTTCTGAAATATTTATATGTGTATAATCCAGGCACGTTGTGTGTCTGATAGATGACCCTCCCAACCGTTTTTAAAGAAGTTAATGTTATTTTGAGGGGGGGGGGTGTATAAAGTCATTTTCCGCTACTTTAACATAGAAAGTTAACTTTTAAAAATTTTAGGGGTCCAGCCCCCCCCCCCCCCCTCCCAAGAGCTTTCCATGAGATCAATAGAAAATAAACTTTTAGACAACCTAGTTTAACATGTACAAATATAGTCATACCACGCAGGAAATATCCACGAATCATACACCTTGTACGTTTAGACACTTAAAATGAAAAAAAGACTTATTTACTTAATATTCAGAACATTTTTGTGAAACATCGTTGTTAAATTTGGTTTTTTAAGAAAGAGCTATATATAGAGAGTAGGAAGGGGACGGATTCACTCTCGCTAATCTAAATTCGCTCTTGTTAATTATAAATGTATCACACCCCCGCTTTAGATGCATATGCTTGTCGCAAAGCCATTAAGGTGGACTTACTGTAAATGAGATAAAGCCGCCTTACATTTTACGGAAGATTTATTAAGAGATAAATAGAATTTGATGGAGATAATACCACTTATACGAGCCTGTCTCGGATAAGTGAGTTTATTTCAGTAACCCTATGTCCTTCCATTCCGGATATCTTAAGCCCTTACAGATATATAATTATATGTACCTTTAGTCCCAACCTATCAATCCGGAAAATATAGGTCCATTTACATATACTATTACTAGTCTAATACTTAGTTGTTTCCTCCTCTTCCTTTCTTGATAAATCGATAAAACGGTAAGGTCATGGAAACTTTTGTGAAGTTGAATTGTTGCAATATTTTAATTTTCGTAATGAAATAAGTTTAATTTCATGAGTAACTATCATGGTTTGTGATTTCTAGCCAAGTTAGACGTGCTGATGGTGTAATTTTACTTTGGATTTTGCCCGATTTTTTGTTAAGATCAAACGTCGGCTAATTGGTTGAATTTACACTATTTGGTATAATTTGAATGATAGATAACAGCAATATGAAACATATGGAAGTCTAGGGATAGTTTAACTTAAGTAATTATTTTTTTAGGAGTAAAACGTAATCAATTCCTGATTCGCTTATGGGGTGGGGGGGTGGGGGCTCAAGCGCAGAAATATGAAGTCAGGCATACTAATCCGTTTTAAGCTTTGTTTTCCAATGTTATGAAGCCTGAAGAAGGTACTGAGTACTTGCACATTTTGCCAAAATTTAATAGTCTTTAAATGTCCTTGACTATTGAACATTCACAAGGATTGCATCACTTTCACTTCTGCAGTAATCAAAGTACTGAAAGTACCGAAAGGATGTTGGTTAATATCATCATTGTCATGAGTCATTTGCAGTTTGGTATCGTTTCATTTATTTGCTGGTCTATAGGAACATTTTAAGAAAATGCATAAAGGCATAAAGAGATAATATTTTACCGAAAAAAAGGACATAGTGTTATATGAACTGTTATATGAACTGATTTTTCTCTTAATTTTTTTTTTTTTTTTTTGGGGGGGTATTAGGACTTAAGGTTGAGAGGGGTCTCTCAAAATTAGAATACTCAATGGTTAACCATGGAAATTGTTGTCCACCTGGTCAACGGCTATAAAAAATACAATTTTAAGAGTCTTTTAGAGTGAACTTTTTGCCTCAGGGTAACTAAGGTAAGTAAGGTTCTGCATATTGTAGACAAGAAAGATGTAGAATTTGGCTTCATAAACCGTAGCATAAAGCAGCGATAATCAATCATTCATATGCCTTAGAATAGATATGCTGGTTTCAGCCACAAACAAGGAGCAAATTATATTAGTACAAGACGTAAGAGTCACACAAGGGTAAGAAGCTGTTACTTTTATCTCAGCATGTCTCGAGATTCATACTGGTCCTTTAAAAATGAAATTAAATTTCACAAATTGATAAGAAAAAAAATCATTCTGCTCAGATTGAGTTTTCCATAACTTGATAGGATTGACTGGAATGCAAATTAAAGCTTGTAAATAAGCATTTAATAAAAATATTCTTAATTTCAATCTCTAATAGGACTAAATTCTCTACCCTTAAATGTCGTAATACTCTGACATATTAAAGCATTTTATAGTCAAGCAAGCATTGCCAAGAAGAAACAAAATTGAGTAACTTAGCAGTACTTAATTCTTTAAACAAATAAAAAATAAAATAATAGAATATTATAATTAAATGCTGGGGTGGACAGATGTATGAAAACAGTAGAAATAGAATGGCAATTAGAAAATAAATAAATAAATAAAAATAAAATAAAATGTTTTAAATTAATTCTTTTAATTAATTTAAATGAAGGGAGATAATTCTTACCAAAATTTAAGGTCATAAATTAGGACACATTCCACCCTTACATACTAAGCCTAATGGTAATAAATGAGAGTTATATCGAAATTAATTAAGTATTTAACAGTAACACATCTTTAATGTATTCAATGTCACAGACCTACAGCATACTCCAGACTCTGTATTCTCAGATATTTAACTAATTTCATCATTTAAAATTGTTGTACATTGACCAATCCATTTTCATTTACATATAGGTATGTCCTTTGCCCACCAACTTATCTGAACTATTTTGCATGTGTGACTGATCGTATAAGAAGCATTGTTTAAGGAAGTTCTCAAGTAACATAAACCAACGAAAAAGCCATAAAAGAAATATGTGCTTGCTTATTGTCATACATTAAAACCTGTTTCAGAGAACATAACCCTCAAAATTCAATTGCCAAAATTTAGTGTAGAATATTTCATATTGTAGTTTTGCACCAATTCACAAAATCAACAGATTGATCTTGAGTCTGCATCACAAAATACCTTAATTTTTATAATCATAATAACTCTCAAATGATTTTATTATGCCATTTTGTATCGGATAGGATAATATCTATGGTAACTTAAGTGGTAAGGCACATGTTTTATCATGATTGATAAGTTTTACAAAGCAGTCTTTGGGACAGGTATACCCCAATTTTAGTAATATCAAGTTTACCAAAATTATTGGCAAAATTTTAAAAATAAAAATATACAAAGAATCATTCTCTCTTGAAATGAATTATACATCTAAAGTAATGTACAAAAATAAAAAACGATTCCTTTTTAGTGTTAAGGCAACTAAGAATGGGTGTATCACTCTGTGTGTCAGCATACAATGACCTAGCTTGAGTTAATCAAACTCGCAGATGCCAAATATTAATTTTCGCATGAATATAACGATATACCAAATTCCATATGCTCAACAATCTCAAGTAAACATAACAAAGGCATGTATAAAATAATTTAAACCAGATTCCGATCATTCGTACAAGTTAGGATTTTCCTTAATTACCAAATATGCATTTCAAGGTTAAGGAAGTAAACTTGATATAAATTACTATAACCATCTCATTTCTCGATCTGAGAGGAAACTATTCTCTTCGAACAATATTTTTTGGTCAACATTCTTACAATTCTTGTTTTTGTTTTAACTGAGTTAAATTGCCGGTTGACAAGATGCAATATAAATCTAAAATATACGGTTCCTTTAATCGAAGCTTTATATGAGAGGTTGAATGGAACGTTTGACTCAACCCCCTTTTTTAACAGAAATTGCGGTCGGGTTTAGACAGTATTGGATAGTTTATAAAATATATTTGTCAATTTTGTAGGATAGATATTAAATCTCACTCACTTTAATTACTGAAGCAAATACTACACATTTCCCATCAGAATGCAACAGGGATGACAAGGTTATTATAATTTTGAAAATTGCTGCTTTTCAAAAACATATTGTTTAAACATTAATAAATGCACAGTGGATCCCGTTTAATCCAATAGTAAGTTTGTCAGCCTTCTGGTATCAGAATATCCGAATATTCGAATAGCCGATTGCTCAATTTCGAGTCCAAATATTAGGCCTTCCATGTGTTTACCTATTTTAACACTCTTTACTGGTATGCTATTTTTCCCTATGACTAATCGATAGTTGGTTCATAAATTGTGAAGTACTAAAGAAGGGTTTTAATTTATATAGATAGGTATGCAAAGGGATCGGTTTGGGGGGGGGGGGTATTAGGACACATTGTTATTGTTAAACTTGGTAAGAGGTGTTTTAAGTTTTAATTATTTAAAAGCCATGAAAGAGTTACAGCCTTTTAAGTAATTTATACAAGTAACCAATGGAAAAATACAGTGTCCGTAAGTATCAACAATGTTAGAGGAAATAGTAGTTGTTTTATACAGTTAAGTCCTTGCCCCTTAGCTCCTTTTGTAAAACTTGTGTAATCACTTATTCTGTAAATTTTTATTGGTGAATGAGCAGGCCCTGGTCGACGGTGACCATTTGCGTTGAGGTACTGCCGCCGTCACCATGGTTCTTGGCACCCCATTGGTGGCGGTTGCAGTTCCATGATTACTCGTAGTAGACACGAGTATTCATGGCCCTTGCAAGTGGCGTATTCCGTCGCACCTCAACGCAATTGGACGAGTGCAACACATATTCTTACGCTCATTCCATTGTTTATTGACTTGATTGATATTTGAATTGATTGATTGATTAATAATTGATTGATTGACAAGTAATTGACTTGATT